GAAAAATTTTAATGGGAACAAAAAAACCATTTCAGAACTTGCTTTACTACTGACTAATGCAGTGTTAGCAGAATTGCCAGCTAAATTCTGATTGCAGAACCGGTATTGCTGGTCATGGAGACACAGTGATAAAGAATTCAGCTGATTTTCAGATTCCCAAGTGCAGTTTGTAGCACTGCCAATTAGAAAAGGAATCAGCTTTTTACTTGCAAAAGGGACCAGCTCATATTGTGAGTGTGTTGCAGGAGTGTCTAGAGGTCACCAATCAAGACTCAGAGCCCCATTGTGCTAGGCGCTGTACGAACAGAACAATGATCCTTTCCCCAAATAGCTGACAATGTAAGTGTAGGACAGGAGGCAACAAACACGTGGATAAAACTAATACCACAAAGTCACAGGGAGACAGTTATGAGCAATGTCACAAGCACCAGCAACAGGACACCAACTGCCTAACCACTGTAAAGTTCTGGAACACATACGAGAGAGAACGAATATGACACCCAGTGAGCACCATCCCATTTGTACAGTCAGTGCTTTTATTGCACAGCCCGACTGCAAGCTCTCTCAGTACCTGAGATACCTTCAAGATTTTAAGGACCACACGAAGGAATACCCTGTGTATGGGAAGGGTTATGGATGTGCCCAGTGGAAGTGGAAAATGTAGCTAGATAGATCCAGATGAGAAATACAGCACCAAAGTTTAAACAAGGGCAACTGCCCATTAGAACATCTTACCTAGAGAGGTGGTGGGTTCTCCAGCACTTGGAGTCTTAAATCCAGAGCGAATGGCTCCTTCTCACAGATCTGCTGTAGTAGAACTAGATGTCCTGGGCTGGATGGAGGAATCGCATGGGGAAGATCTCTGGCCTGCGCTGTGCAGGAAATCAGACTGGGTGATAAGAACAGTCCTTTCCGGCCTTAAAAATCTATGAAACCTGGGCAGAAAACAACAGGCTGAAGTTCTTTTGTGGAAAATTAAATTAGTCCATTTGGGGAATAATAATCCACGCCACAGTCCATGGGCTGCAGGAACCCGCTAGGCAGTGAATCCAAAGAGCCAAGGAAGGTAGCAAGTTAGACATGAGTTAGCAATGTGCCATGGTGTCAAGAAAAAAAAAGGCCAGTGGAAATTTGGGCTGCAAACACAAAGGTGTCCCGTTATAGAGCAGAGAGACCAATGTTCCCAACCAACCTACAGGGCAAAGAGACTGTAACGGCCAGTGGAGAGCGTTGACTTTCTATGGGAACTGCGAACAAGGTGACAAATAATATTAATTGTGGTGATGGTTTCATTGTGATGTGGACACCTGTCCCCTAGAAATGGGACTGAGAGCCACCAACTCAACACACGTAGGACACCACAGAGCTCTCAGATGGGAACAACGTTTGGTCATTGTTGACATGGGCAAATCGGTGCCCTAGAAGGGAAATGTCCCGTTTTGATAAGATTATTAATATTAAAGTGAATATGGGCCCATGGTATTTGCCTAGCACTCAGAATGGCTTATCTCTCTTGTATTTAATTCAAAGGCTGTACGTAAGCCCAGCCTTAAACTCTGTGGCCTGAGGCTTTCCACCCTCCCAATTACAGACCTTGCAGTCCATTTCCATTTCTGGGCGTATTCAAATGTGTTAACCAGCCATTGTGAAAAGGCTGCTTAAAGGAATCCATTTCTCAAGCGTTCAGCTCACAGGGAAGGACAGAGAATGGAGGACGAAAATATTTATATAAATGCGAATATTGGAAAACCACCTCT